GGTTAAAAAAAATAAGTACGAGTGTTTCCTCAGAAAATACTGTACTGTACTTGTATGTATTGTTTACTTGAGAATACAACAGAGAATAAACTGCCCAAATACCCTTAAACAAAGGAAAAGTACATCCTTTATGAAGGCATAGAGCCTTTACTACATGAAAATGAAAATTAATGAATACACTGTGTACAGTAATTTACCTGATAAGACAGACCCCAGAAAAATACTTTATGAGGCATAAAGCTGCCTATATTGAAAATTAATTCACTAAGGATTTTTTTTGCCTTGCCAGGGTGTGGCTGAGTTATCCGGACTGCTGGACGAGTTTTCAAGACTCTACTGTATATATATATAGAGATGTACATATAGATTTTACAATTTTTTTTTATTATATTTGATTACAATTAATAAATTATCACTAAATTAAAGATTAAAATAAATAATTACTCTGTTTAATGAGAATCCTAATAAGAAAATAATATATGTTTGCACAAATTCAAATTATAGTTAATATTTTGAAAGGAATATAATATTTTGCTCACACTTTGAGAAGATTAATGAATAAGCCTAAATTTTTATCTCTATCTTATTTAATTTTTCTTCCATATATGACAAAGTTTTATTGCTTCTAGTAAATTAAGTTATATTGATGTAGATATGCTATGAACTATCATAGCATATCTTTGTATCATAGTATCTTTGGTTAGGATTACTTTTCAAGACATATATCACATATATATATATATATATATAGTAAATTTACTAGTTAGAGTAAATTTAATTGCTTAAATATAAATTTGAATTTAAGATTATTATTAGAAATTATTTCAACTTCTTTAAAGATTTTATTGATTACATTATTAAAAGTTCTTGATATATTTTCATAATACAGTAAAACAGTTACAAATAAACTTTAGGTTTAATCTAAATTGTTAGAAAATAATGGCATACTGATACACCAAAACCACCAGTTGTGTAATTTAAATTATTAAATAATTTTTACTTGTTTATAAATTACAAATAATGTTCTAGAAATATTAACCTGTTAATTTATCACGGACTCTTGTAATGATAGATATGGCTTTCTTGTTTAAAGCTTCTGGCTGACTCCCCACAATTTCTGTAAAACATTTAAAACTTTAAAATTTAATAACTATAATTTAAAATTATAAGACAAATAAAATGCATAAATTATTACTTGAAAATTTTAATAAATTATTTAGATTATGATATAGAAATAGAGAAGTAATATTTAAATATGTAGTAAAAGCATAATACAGGATGATTCAAAAGTCTTCAGGCTTTTTGAAAATAAGTAAGATATTAATAAATTAATTACAATTAATTAAATAATATAAATACCTCCATCATTATAACACTCCTCAAATTTTTTTTCTATTTGTGAAGGAACATCTACATTGTCTAAAATATCTGAAAATTTAATTTGTTAGCCACAACAGTTTAATGTAAGATAAATACTAAATGAGATAAATGCTTTTTCATAATTTTAATACTACCTGCTTGTTCTTGACTAGATGATGTAGAGTCACTGTGAGATTTTGAGGGTTTAGTTTTTGGTTGAGCTAGAATGTGAAATAATTTGAAATGTTATGAATAATGAATTTGAAAAATTTTAAATATTCACCATACAACTTTCTCCATGGTGTGTCTGATATGACAACCTGATATATGGAGAGGTCAATGTGATTTGACTAAAAACAAAACATATTAATCTAAAATTACAATATCAAATTAACTTTTTGATACTAAACCATTGTTAGCAAACTTAAATTCAACATTTCTTTCTAAAATATTAAAAAACAACTCAATGTTAAATGCAAACTGTGAACAAAAATTTTTAAAAATCTTCTGTTTCTTAAGATATATAAAATAAATTTGAAAGCAACATTTGAAAGTAATTAGAACAAAAATTATATGAATGTAAGTATTTTATAAATGAATATAATATATACTTATATGCAAATTGTAAACATATGGATTTATTCTTATGGATAACACTATGTAATTAAATTCATATAATTCCAAGTTTATGAAATAAGTCAACAGATTTTATATTTTATTTTGCTAGAGAATAACACCTTTGTTTTTCAGTTGTAATTAATATTATTATTATTATTATTTCAGATAGATCTACAGACTTCTTATAAATTGTTATAGCTAACTTTGTAGTAAACTTTCACATCAAAAAGAAAAATACACCTTTAAAAATCCAGCAAATAAATTTACTAATAAAAACATTTTTGATAGATTTAACCGATCCTCTTCAGTTATGATGAAATAGAATGTGAAAATAGAATGTAAATTTAAAAATAAATGATAAACTATAATTCCAAAATAAATACATAATTGAAATCATAGTTGTGAATAATAAATAAATAACTACAGAAATAAAATAAATAATTTAAAAAAAAAATGAAGAGTGGTTTTGAATTATTTCCCCTTTTTAAGAGGAATACATAGTAAAGTGGNAATAATGGCATACTGATACACCAAAACCACCAGTTGTGTAATTTAAATTATTAAATAATTTTTACTTGTTTATAAATTACAAATAATGTTCTAGAAATATTAACCTGTTAATTTATCACGGACTCTTGTAATGATAGATATGGCTTTCTTGTTTAAAGCTTCTGGCTGACTCCCCACAATTTCTGTAAAACATTTAAAACTTTAAAATTTAATAACTATAATTTAAAATTATAAGACAAATAAAATGCATAAATTATTACTTGAAAATTTTAATAAATTATTTAGATTATGATATAGAAATAGAGAAGTAATATTTAAATATGTAGTAAAAGCATAATACAGGATGATTCAAAAGTCTTCAGGCTTTTTGAAAATAAGTAAGATATTAATAAATTAATTACAATTAATTAAATAATATAAATACCTCCATCATTATAACACTCCTCAAATTTTTTTTCTATTTGTGAAGGAACATCTACATTGTCTAAAATATCTGAAAATTTAATTTGTTAGCCACAACAGTTTAATGTAAGATAAATACTAAATGAGATAAATGCTTTTTCATAATTTTAATACTACCTGCTTGTTCTTGACTAGATGATGTAGAGTCACTGTGAGATTTTGAGGGTTTAGTTTTTGGTTGAGCTAGAATGTGAAATAATTTGAAATGTTATGAATAATGAATTTGAAAAATTTTAAATATTCACCATACAACTTTCTCCATGGTGTGTCTGATATGACAACCTGATATATGGAGAGGTCAATGTGATTTGACTAAAAACAAAACATATTAATCTAAAATTACAATATCAAATTAACTTTTTGATACTAAACCATTGTTAGCAAACTTAAATTCAACATTTCTTTCTAAAATATTAAAAAACAACTCAATGTTAAATGCAAACTGTGAACAAAAATTTTTAAAAATCTTCTGTTTCTTAAGATATATAAAATAAATTTGAAAGCAACATTTGAAAGTAATTAGAACAAAAATTATATGAATGTAAGTATTTTATAAATGAATATAATATATACTTATATGCAAATTGTAAACATATGGATTTATTCTTATGGATAACACTATGTAATTAAATTCATATAATTCCAAGTTTATGAAATAAGTCAACAGATTTTATATTTTATTTTGCTAGAGAATAACACCTTTGTTTTTCAGTTGTAATTAATATTATTATTATTATTATTTCAGATAGATCTACAGACTTCTTATAAATTGTTATAGCTAACTTTGTAGTAAACTGATTCTCTAACTTAAATATATAAATTATTTCACATCAAAAAGAAAAATACACCTTTAAAAATCCAGCAAATAAATTTACTAATAAAAACATTTTTGATAGATTTAACCGATCCTCTTCAGTTATGATGAAATAGAATGTGAAAATAGAATGTAAATTTAAAAATAAATGATAAACTATAATTCCAAAATAAATACATAATTGAAATCATAGTTGTGAATAATAAATAAATAACTACAGAAATAAAATAAATAATAAAAAGTAAAAATAGACAAATAAATGTCCCTTAATAAAATTAACTTTCATAAAAAGACTGCCATGCAGTAGCCAAGTTGTCAGTGTCTCTATGGTTAATGCAACCGGTTTTTTTGTGTGCTTTAAAAACCTCCAATCTTTCAAAATATCTCATAGTATTTATATTCAATGTTGGTTTGATGATCGATGCCTGCTCCCATTGCACCTGAATGTCCTGATGTTGTGCATAAGCTGTCAGCACAGTGCTATCGAGATTTTTATCAATTGTATACTTATAAGCCATTGTAAGTTGCGCATAGTGGCACCCACCATAGACCAGTTTTGATTCGAAATGTTGGTCGATTAACAGGATGGAGTAAATCTCTGCGGCCAAATTATAGTTATACAGTTTTTTATCATTCCTTAAAATTCTGAATATCATTGGGTTGCATCAATTACAACCTGGAGATTATTAGCTCTGGCCACTTTACTATGTATTCCTCTTAAAAAGGGGAAATAATTCAAAACCACTCTTCATTTTTTTTTTAAATTATTTATTTTATTTCTGTAGTTATTTCTTTATTATTCACACCTATGATTTCAATTATGTATTTATGTATTTATTTTGGAATTATGGTTTACCGTTTATTTTAAAATTTACATTCTACTTTCACATTCTATTTCATCATAACTGAAGAGGATCGGTTAAACCGATCGAAAACGTTTTTATTAGTAAATTTATTTACTGGATTTTTAAAGGTGTGTTTTTCTTTTTGTCTATTTATCCAGTTGATAGAGTATTTATTTCACATCAATGTGTTTTATTATAATAGTAATTCTTAGCATATATAGAAAGTTCAATGATTAAAAAGTCATCAATCATCAACACCATTTCATTATTGATGCAGATGAATTACATCAAAACTCTACAAAAAAACTGGCTGATGCCACAAACACTTTCAAATAATTTTATAGCAAAGTTCTGTCAGTTTTCACTCTTTAAGGTAAATTTAATTGTCCAAAAGTGCTAGAGAAACAGTAGCAACTTGTGTGCGCCAATAAGCCAGAATTTTGAGTTTTATCAAACAAAAGTTGAAGTTTATTCAATATATTTATGTTCACATTTTTTTTTTTTTTTTACTAATTCTCAAGTTATCTAATCTAAAAATGATGAATATAATCATTAAAGTATTCTGTTGCATTTATTATATAATACATTATCTAATGTTATGTCTTATTTAATACAACACAAAATGTTAACAATATGTTGAATATAAAAATAGAAGACTTAATATAAACTAAACATCAAGAGCTGAACATTAGCTGTTCATTTTTAATAGTAATAAGTTTTAATTAAATTCAAACTTAATTATTATAAAGTTACAATGTAAAATACTAAAATGTACTTACTATCCATTAGACGCCAATTCAATAAAGGATCATATACAAATGCTTCAAGGACAGCCATTAAACTATCTTTGTTTTTCCTCAATACTTTCATTACTTTTTCACAGGTTACCCTGTAGGTTCCTTCTATTCCAGTTACCTAAAAATAAATATTTTATTTTTAAGCTTTAAATTAGATTTAATGCATAACAATGAAATGTTGGTATTGCATTTTATGTTCAAAATTCATAATTACCTCCATTGCATTGATAAGCATACGTGTTAAACGAAAGGGTATTTTTTCTGGAAATTTTTCCCTTGTCATTGCTACTTCAAAACAATCTCCAAAATCAATGTGCAATATTTTTCCACTTAAGCGATCTAACATTAAATTTGATGGATGTCTAAAAAAGTTAAAAGTATGTTTTGTTAATAAATCCATTCAGGTTGACATATGGATTAGTTCCTCAAACAGTTTTTAAGGTTATTAAACAAAAGCTTTAGATTTATCATTTCTACATCCTATACAGTTAAATCAAATTTTTCATCAAAAATTCATCATTTGGTTTTTATTATGTATTACAAGTATCCAAAACAGTCATTACAGTTAATCATTTTTGCATGCTATTATTTATATATTAGTCTTACTTTTCCTATATTTTTGTTTTTTGGATTTAATCTTTGTATGAATAGGATAAATTCTATGGTAATAGTTGTAATTTAGTAAAATATAAGATTCATCCAGCAATGTTTATCTTGCATTCATTAAGAATGTGTTAGCAAAAACATTTGTAATACTAATTGGATTTCAAGTGACTCCAGTAACTGTAATGAATTATAGATAATACCTATACTATATATAATAAAAATTATAAACAAATAGTCATTATGCATATATCATCATAAAAAGTCACTAATTAATTCATTATTAATTTAAATATTTGCAGTTTTCATTTTACTAAAAATGACTACAATTTATCACAATATTTTAAATTTATTATAAATTTCATTTGATATTATAGTTTTAAATATTATAACTACATTAGTGCATTCAAAGCAGAAGAAAACATTGTAGCATAAATTTTAAATTGTTAAATTTTGTTTCATAATGAGAAATTTATCTTAACAATGTAATTCAGATAAATTTGATCCGAACAGAGCCATATTTATTAAATACAATATTGTAATTAGAATTTACCTGTCTCCTAAGCCTAAAACATATCCTACCATAGACATCACTGCTAAGGAACGTGTATAATTTGTGCGTCTATCAAACCAAACCTACAAAATATGTTATAAAATGCATAAATATTTTTGATTCATTATTTTAACAAGTTTTAAGAACTCAGAATACTTACTTCTGAACTCGGACTTTTTAACCATAATAATTTTGCAAGATCATCACCATTTGTGTGTTCCAATGCATGCTCAAATACTTCAACTTTTTGCATTAATGTTAAATGATCGAAATCAGGTGCCATCTGTCACAAAAATAATTTTTTTAAATTTATTTATATACAGATAAAAATAAAGCAAATATAATAAAGAAAATTTTTGATTCTCATATGTAGCTTAAAGTATAACTATATAATAAGCTATAAAATATAAAATAATGAAAAGAAAACAATAGTTTATAATTCATAACAATTTAATGAATTTAAGTCATAAATTTGGCAGCAAGTTAATTTAAATATTTGATATTTTGTTTTATTACAATACAAGTTATAACAGATTTCTATCTGTTTATATTCTGTTTTGACTGTAATGAAAGGAATGTCCATTGCAATATGTTCTGATCTGAGTAATACTACTCTGTTTTGAAAATCTTATCCTGCTCATTTTGCCATTTTCTCTCAAAAAGAACAAAACATGGAAAAATAAAATAATTGTTCATTGAAATAAAGCTCTTTGAATCGAAATTTGGCTTTGTCATAACAAAATGTACATTAAAATTATTACTTTAAATATGATTAGGTTGATAAACTTTATTACAAATTTTGTGAATCTAATAATTGATATTTGAACAGAAAACAAATCAAAACTTACCAACTACAATACTGTAATATCATATTTTATACCAAAATATACAGTATATACAGTAAAACCTCCATTAACAGACATACCCAAATAGCTGACACCTCTACTTAATAGACATTTTTACAATCCCCAGACCCTTCAAATAGGACATCTATTATATTCACTTTTAAATAGTGGACACTCCAAATAATGGACACCATCACCCATAACCTATCTTAGTCCCATACAAAGTCCTGCTTTCAATATTCTGAAATAATTAATTATATACNACATCTAAGATTTTATCTGTTGATCCTCTTCTTTCCCGTTTTACGGTATACAAGCCTCTGATATCTCTATTGATACGAAAATACAGCTTATTCTCCTGTGTATTGCAGCATTCTATTCTGTTCTCTGTAGTCTTGCTTTGTATACAAAATATTTTAAAATGAAAACAAAGAATCAGTTCAAATACTCTTTCAGAGGAAAAATTTTGATCATAGGCATTGGATAAAGATTGGCTTAAAACAGGAATAAGGTAGGAAGGCAGATGTGAGAGTAGCCGGTGTTACGGAGTAGGTAGTACCCGTGTAATACTTAATCGGCACCAGTCGGTAGGACTAGTTCTCTAGGATGCAGATCACTAGATCTGATCTCAAATATTTCATAGGAGAGCGATAACTGCTATATGATCCGAACGGCGAAGTTCAGATGCTCGTCAGGATTCCTTGACACCAGTTAATCTTGTTTTAATTTACTTGGATATTAGAACAAATTGCAAAAATTATTAAACTTTGCCTTATTGTTACAAGATATTTTATAAAAACCAAAATGAAATAAATTGAAAATTTTTCTAAATATTTATTATCTTAATTTATTTGAGAGATTTTTTATCTGAAATTATTATTGCTGATGTGAGAGTAGCCGGGGTTACGGAGTAGGTAGTACCCGTGTAACACTTAATCGGCACCAGTCGGTAGGACTAGTTCTCTAGGATGCAGATCACTAGATCTGATCTTAGATATTTCATAGGAGAGCGATAACCGCTATATGATCCGAACTGCGAAGTTCAGATGCTCGTCAGGATTCCTTGACACCAGTTAATCACACTTATTATACGCGGATTAACACGCGTATGAGATCTGATTCGGAATCAATTCAAGAGACATTTAAGTAAATTTAACAAGACTAAATTTAATAATTCAAACCAAAACGAAAACAAATTACAACGAACGAGGGATATCAATAAGACAATTAAGCCACACGAGATATAGTCTAAGACTTATTTTACACTGATGCGCGATCGAGAGAGAGAGCTCACAAGATTCGTTATAAAACATACAACCTGATTCAGTTGACGTTCGTCTTCTTCTCTGTCTGTAAGGGACACCTTGTAAATAGTGTTCATTTACTTCTTCGTACGGGAGATCAATACGTGCACAAATATAAAAGTATCTTTACTAAGTTCAGACTCGGGACTTAGTCTATGGGACTCGTTTAAGGGCGTTGGTCATCAGGAGGAAAACTGTGTGGAGTTTNATTCTTAACCAACTTTTCACAATATCTTGATTGGAATAAAGTCGCAGAATTTCAAATTCTTTCAGATAATTTTATTAGGCGATACATACATAAGTTTGATATTAAAAAAATTTTAAAATACCAACGATTAAAAACTATGACTTTACGCGTATTAAAAGATTATCTAAACTGGAATTATGTTTCTCGTTACCAAATACTTGACCAGCAATTTATTGATGACTTCCAAAATGAACTTTCATGGTGTTACATTTTAAAATATCAGAAAATAGACCGGGAATATATTGTAAACAATCACCAGAACTTATTACTCCACTTATTAGCAGAAATGTGCCATGTTTTAGATAAAGTGAATGAGAAAACTGGAAAAAGCTTAAATATAATAAACTAATTTAATCTATTAATGTAAAAATAAAAAAATAAAATTCAAAAATAATTTTGTTTTGGTGTTATATTATTTCATACAATTATTGGGTTTTAATTTTATTCGATATAATACAGAAACTTTGTCTTATTGTTACAAGATATTTTATGAAAATGAATTGAAAGTTTTATAAATATTTATTATCTTAATTTATTCAAGAAATTTTTTATCTGAAATTATTGCAAATTAATTTTATAATAATTAGAAAGAATATACTGTATTAATTCAAAGTTATAAAAACATTTTAATAATTAAACTTATTGTTAAAATAATATAAAATTTAAATTTAATAATTAATACAGTCTTATTGTTAAAATAAAATTAATTTAATTTAAAATTTAATAATTAATATAACCTTATTGTTAAAATAAAATTAAGATTTGTGATCTGAAATAATTCCATTCAACAAATTTTTATTTGCAATTTTAATTTATTCGATAGTAATTTATTCAAAAAATTAATTTTGTGATCTGAAATAATTCCATTCAACAAATTTTTATTTGCAATTTTAAAAAGTATTTGTAATTTTAATTTATTCAATAGTAATTTACTCAAAAAAATAATTTTGTGATCAAAGCTTCCCAAACCACTACTACTACTGTACACGAAAAAGTAAGACAAATGCGTTTTTTTTTTTTTTTCATTTCTATTACTGTATTATTAATAAAATCCGCAAAGGGTAGCTAGTACTAACTGGAAAGAGACCCACATTTTTATGACATGCTGAACATTTTTACGACGATGCGTGGAACCAAACGAATTAGCTATGATATTTCTTACCCCACCCCCATGTGGTGCGGCTGGCAGCTTTCATCTATGGTACCAAATCTTGAAATTCATGCCACAGATGGAAAGACTAACATGGAAAGCTACCTACACTCACTCATCAACCCGCCTGGCCAGCGTAGTGAGTTATGGCCAATAACTCCCAAGATTAAAACACAACCGAAACCACATCGCTCATTATCCGGAGGCTGGATTACACCTGATCAAGGCAGCGACCTGTTCTGTATGAAAACAGAGGGTGCTAAGAATCACCGGGTTGGACCTGGCTTCCATTTGATGATGAACCTGGCTTGCTATAATGGCAGATCGCTCTCTTCCGAATCTAGGTTACAAGAACTGGAAGAAGAACTTCTCAAGATCAAGTGAGATGTGATGGAACTGAGTGAAGTAAGAAGAAAAGGTGAAGGTCAACTTCAACTGCAAAGTGGATATATTTTTTGCTACAGAGGCACAGAAAATAAAAAGAATAGCGGAGTTGCTTTATAATAAACAAAAGGTTGAATGATAAAATCTTAGAAGTAGATAGTTCTTCGGATAGTGTGGCAAGATTAGTTTTTTGACTTTCAAATAAACATAAACTACAGATCATTCAAGTCTATGCTCCCATAACAAGTCACCGTGATAAAAAAATAGAGAATTTTTATGATGAAATTAAACAGATGAATTGAAAAGGGAAACATTACGTAAATATCGTCATGGGTGACTTCAATGCAAGAATTGAAAAAAAGAAGAAAATGAAACACCTGTTGGAAAATTTGGACATGGGAAAAGAAATGAACCTGGAGATATGCTTGTAGATTTTGCTGAGGTGAAAGTTTTACATAATGAATTTATTTACTAAAAGTGAGTTCCTAACTAAAAGTTTTGCTGTGAGTCCGTCTACCAAAAATTTTGGATTACAGAGACGAATTATATACATAGAATTTATTTACATTACCGTTTGCCCCGCCCCTCTGTTTCTGTTTATTTTGTAAAATGGCCAAGAACAGTATAGGTCAGACAAGGTCAGACATGTTATATTATTTTAAAAATTCATCAAAAATAAATTTATCGTTATATTCATATGACAAAAATTACGTTACATTTATTAATATCTGTAGTTATAAATACGATATTTTCAAATACATTTAAATATAAACTTCAATAGAAAAACACTAAAATATATCAGACCTGAAATCTATCTGTGAAAATTTGCAACATTATTTAAAATTCACATACTCCTGTTAAGTAGTTTGTTCTTGGCACTAAGCCAGAAGACTTGAAATATCGCTCTGTACAACTTTATATAACATTTATGAATGTACGATTTTTAGTTTTAAAATTATCACAGATTATAATATATCCTTTGTTTGGATTCTAACCTTTATTTTGTTATCGACGAATATTACGAACTAATATTTTTTATTTATTTTATTTTGAAAAATAATATAAATTATTGTGATAAATATATAAACCAGTAGTAATGCATTTACGATGTGCTAACATTTCTAATTAAATTAAAAAATAAAAAATAAAAAAATATATAAAACATTAAAATTGAATGTTAAATTTAAATATTTATCATACATTGATTTATTATATCTGAATAAACTTATTATAGNAAATTACAACTTCTTTGGTTAATCAACATAACTATAGTATCTTTCAATTATAATAATAGAAATAAAACTAAAAGTTCTTATGAGATCAATTTGCACAGCACCAACTTTACACTTACAAATCAGCACAATCTCCACACATACAAATCG